AAAGGGCGAGCATGTTTGGTGGGACGGGGATTCGAACCCACGACCCTCAGATGGCGAGTCGAGTGCCTTATCCACCTGGCCATGCCGGGCCCCCTGTATCGTGAGAAAGTTATTTCACAACGAAAGGCTACCTTTTTACTGATATCGAATTTCAATTTTCTGGCTAAGTAAAGTCGTTCATCTTCTAATGTATTAAATGGAAAGACACGATTAACCACAAGTAGAAATGAATATTTAGGACTCAGTGAAACTACTTCATATTTCATTGAATCTATAAACTACTTAATGAATAACAAGTAATGCTGCTTAAGTGACTATTTACTAATGAACAGGATAATCTTAAAAATAATGAGTAACCCTGTTTAATTAAGTTACTTTATGCTAATGGAAAGGACACCCAGTGGTTCAGCTGTAAGTCTGCTTGCTTACTGCGCTAAATATCAGGTTTCGATACTCTTAGTGGGCAGAGGAGAGATTGCCCATTGTGTACCTGTGTGCTTAACAACACACAAAAGTGATCTTAAAGAATAACAAGTAACACTGTTTAACTAAATGACTATTTGTTAATTAAAGGGTTAACTAATCTTAAAGAATAATGAGTAATGCTTTTTAATTAAGTGGCTGTTTGTTAATAAGAGGGTTAACTAATCTTAAAGAATGACGAGTAATGCCGTTTAATTAAGTGGCTGTTTGTTAATAAAAGGGTTAACTAATCTTAAAGAATAACGAGTAATGCCGTTTAATTAAGTGGCTGTTTGTTAATAAAAGGGTTAACTAATCTTAAAGAATAACGAGTAATGCCGTTTAATTAACTTACTGTTTGCTAATAAAAGGGTTAACTAATCTTAAGGAATAACGAGTAATGCCGTTTAATTAAGTGGCTGTTTGTAAATAAGAGGTGTTACGTCTCCGTTCGTTAGTTAATTTTCCGTAAATTCTTTCCGACTAAACTTTAGCGACACAAGTCCTTTCTTACATAAAACTGGTTTATTCTTTCTGAATATAACTTTGCGATACACTCAATTTCAACAGTCGCGCTATAACAACGAACGTCTCACGTGCTCAGTTCAATTACACACTCTCTGACTGCAGTTCAATTATTCATTACCTACACATTGTCCCGTCACGTTGTGACCATCTTATATATATCAGACTATCCCCAATCTAGTAATCTCCCGACAATTCACGAAGGTTCGAGAAAGAAGTGGCGGGATACTAGTCACGTGACCTCGCTGACGCAACAGAGGGTTAACTAATCTTAAAGAATAACGAGTAATGCCGTTTAATTAAGTTACTGTTTGCTGATAAAAGGGTTAACTAATCTTAAAGAATAACGAGTAATGCCGTTTAATTAAGTGAATGTTTGTTAATAAGAGGGTTAACTAATCTTAAATAATTACGAGTAATGCCGTTTAATTAAGTGGCTGTTTGTTAATAAAAGGGATTAAACGGCATTACTCGTTATTCTTTAAGATTAGTTAATAAGTGGCTGTTTGTTAATCCCTTTTATTAAACGGCATTACTCGTTATTCTTTAAGATTAGTTAATTAAGTTACTGTTTGCTAATAAAAGGGTTAACTAATCTTAAAGAATAACGAGTAATGCCGTTTAATTAAGTGGATGTTTGTTAATAAGAGGGTTAACTAATCTTAAATAATTAAGAGTAATGCCGTTTAATTAAGTGACTACTTGCCTTCGAAAAGGTTAACTCAATTGTAAACATTTTTTCTATATTTTGTATTCAACTGCGCTCATTTTAATCACTATCCACTTGAATATTATAAGTTTATTAAAGATCAAGTCTATAATAAAATTATTTTCCCATTGATAAGAAAGAAATAGATGGCTTAAATATTAAAAATAAAATAGTAAATAGTAAAATAAATTAAATGATAAAATCATTTTTGTGACATACATTTGGCTCATCTACTAAATAGCCTAACAGTAATAAAATCAACGCCTTTAGGCTCATCTATTGGTATTGTTGCGTCAGCGAGGTTACGTGACTAGTGTCACGCCACGTTTCTAGAACTATCCCGTTCCTTCGGGAGTGCTCCAGCATTTACTAGATTGGGGGGTGGTCTGATATGTATAAGATGGTCACGGCGTGACGTGACAATGTGTGTGTAGAC